TGGAAAGAGAGGAACACTCCTACACTGTGGGTGGACTGCAAACGATTCAACCTCTGTGGGAAGCAATATGAGTACCTTAAAGCGATACAAGTTAATCTACCATTTGATCCAGCAATCCCATTGCTGGGCATCTACCCAAAATATCCAATGACACTCTACAAAAAAGACACCTGCACTCGAATGTTTATAGCAGCACCATTCATAATGCAAGGCTGTGGAAAGCGCCAAGTGCCCATCAATCCAAGAATTAATAAAATGTGGTATATGTATACCAGGGAGTATATTCAGCTCTAAGAAACAATGGTGATATAGCACATCTTTATATTTCCTGGTTAAGCTGGAACCATACTACTAAGTGAAGTTTCCCAGAATGGAAAAACAACAATAACTCACCAGCAAATTGGTATTTACTGACGCACCTAAGTGGTCACATAGGTACTACAGTAATAGTATAGGGCAGGTGGAGGCGGTGGCGGTATATGATATATAATGAGTGAGATGTGCACATCTGGGGATGTCATACTGAAGACTCAGACTTATGGAGGGAGGGGACAAATGGCATTTTTGAAACCTTAAAATCTGTACCCATAATATGCTGAATAATAAAAAAAATGCCTAAAGTTGAAAGTCTCTCCTTTAAAAGTTCTGTATGTTCCCAGAGGCAAGATGTAGGTACTTTAAGATGGGAATCTGCCAACCTCCTCATTTGCCAACAAATTAATAAACTCTCTCTTTCCTTCCCTCAAACCATTTGTCTTTGTTCTTCTGATGAGGCTCAGGCACCCTCCAGGATAAGTGCTGAACTTTCAATAACTTTCCTAGGATTAGAAATCTTGTAGTTAAGGCCACCTTTGAGACTTCAGAGTTGTTCTTTGTGATTAACTACCTTTGATGAAATTTAGGGGCAACATGCCGAACCAAAAAATGGCTCAAGCCAGGTAATGTGTGCTCCTTCACATTACACTCATTTTCACAAAATCTGAGTGGCCCTCTTGTCTCTGACTGGACTATCTATACATTGTGATTATCAGGGACCTGTGTAAATATCTAGCCCCACCAGAAAGAAACCTTGATAACAGCCAGGACAAGAGGAAGTACCCAGCAGGGCTCCTAGAGCCCTAGGCAGGGGCATGCTCACAGATGCAAGATAGGCATCAATTAGAGGCTCATCATGTGCATGTTCTATCTGCACAGTAGCCTACCAAGGTAAGATAGGTTCAAAATATGCCAGCAGCATGAAAGATCAGGATTCCAGTTCTCAAATTTCATAATTCCATAATTCTCTAATGTCAGGAAAAACAAATGACAAAATACGAATTGTTATGTTCCTTCTCCTCCCTGCTCCCAGGCCAGGACTAACCCTTAGAAAAAGGTTGAGTCCAAGCCTCTGCCTAACCTGTTATTGATCTATCCATCCAGAGCAGTAATTGCTGTTGCTGGAAGGATGTGGCTCTGATCCAATTGCAGGGCCAGGTCATGCAGTGGATAGCAGGAAAAAGTAATTAGAGGAGGCTGGAACTATGGAGTTCACAATAAACTGGTAAGAGCCTCTTACCAGTTGAAGAATGAATGTGCAAAGGGTTCAGGCAACGATGTACAGGCGCCGTTGAGCTTTGTACTTCTCCTTGGCTAGAGCTTTCTTCAGTTTCAACACTCATAGCACTGATCTAGTTCCTGGGGTACCAGGACACAGACCGTAGTTCCTGCAGAATCCTGGAACCAAGGGCAAAGATGATAAAGCTGGCATCCCACCCTTCTTCTTTCGACGACTTTTGACCTCTTGTAGCCCAGCTTACCCTAGACTGGGCAAATGTTTACAAATTGTGATATTTCCAATAGTGACCAACAGTGACAACTCCTTTTGAAGGCTTCAGAAGAGTACAAGCCCAGAAAGTTTCTAGCTAAGAAATTCTTTGAGAAAGGTTCAGGGTATGTATAAATGTTCATATCAGTGATCTCTCTGCCAGGGAGAAGGTCAAATAGATTAAAAGGTCTGACTTAGGAGAACGCGGAGGCTCTTCATTGAAATAGGGGAAACTGAGGCCCTAAAAGTCTAGAGGACAGGTGAGTTTAGAGTCAAACTGCAACTTCTCTATGGTTGACTACACCTGAGGAAGCCAACTATCTGTTATCCAATCTCTCCTACTCCCCAGAAATAATTCTAAAATATCCTTGAAAAGATGAAAACCCCCAAATAAGCAACAGATGACCATAAATCATGTATGGAAATATCCTCAAAATATATGATTCAGAGAAAAAAAAACTAGTTATTTAACAGTACATACGGTATATCACATTCTGCACATGTGATTTAAAAAATAGCCTCTGTAAAGACCTCTACAGGGAGAACTATGAACACCTGAGGAAGGGAAATAGCAGAGGATGCAAACAGATGGAAATCCATACCATGCTCGTGGATCAGCAGACTCAACATCATTAAAAGTCTATATACCCAAACTGATCTACAGATTCAATGCAATACCTATTAAAATCCCATCAGCATTCTTCACAGATATAGAGAAAATAATTTTACACTTTATGGAACCAAAGAAGACCCAATATCAAAAGCAATTCAGGCAACAAAAACAAAATGGGAGGCATTAATATCGCCAGATATCAAACTATACTACAAAGCTGTATATTAAATCAATATGTGATTGGCACAAAAATAGGAATATTGACCAGTGACAGATGTGAGAATCTCGATATAACCATCCTCATATAGCCATCTAATCTTTGACAAAGCAGACAAACACTACGCTGGGGAAGAATCCCTTTTCAATAAATGGTGCTGGGAAAACTGGATAGCCACCTGTAGAGGCTAAAACAGACCACACACCTTTCACCTCTCACAAAAACCACTCACGCTGATAACAGACTTAAACCTAAGGTATGAAACATATTAGAACCTAGAGGAAAAATTGGAAACACTCTCCTAGACATCGGCCTGGAAAGAGTTATGAAGAAGTCCCCAAAGCAATCACAGCAGCAACAAAAATAAATAAATGGGACATGATCAAACTACAAGCTTCTGCACAGCCAAAGAAATAGTCATGAAGTAAACAGACAACCTACAGAATGGGAGAAAACTTTTGCATCCTATGCGTCCGATAAGGGACTGATAACTAGAAAATACTTAGAACTCACGAAAATCAGCAAGAAAAAAATCAAATAACCCCACTAAAAAGTGGGCAAAGGACATGAACAGAACTTTTCTAAAGAAGACAGAAGAATGGCCACACATATGAAAAATGTTCAACATCTCTAATCATCAGGGAAATGCAAATCAAACCACAATGAGATATCACTTAACTCCAGTGAGAATGGCCTTTATCAAAAAGTCTCCAAACAATAAATGCTGACGTGGATGTGGAAAGAGAGGAACACTCCTACACTGTTGGTGGGACTGCAAACTAGTTCAACCTCTGTGGGAAGCAATATGGAGATACCTTAAAGCGATACAAGTTAATCTACCATTTGATCCAGCAATCCCATTGCTGGGCATCTACCCAAAATATCCAATGACACTCTACAAAAAAGACACCTGCACTCGAATGTTTATAGCAGCACCATTCATAATTGCAAGGCTGTGGAAACAGCCCAAGTGCCCATCAATCCAAGAATGGATAATAAAATGTGGTATATGTATACCATGGAGTACTATTCAGCTCTAAGAAACAATGGTGATATAGCACATCTTATATTTTCCTGGTTAGAGCTGGAACCCATACTACTAAGTGAAGTTTCCCAAGAATGGAAAAACAAGCACCACATATACTCACCAGCAAATTGGTATTTACTGAGCAGCACCTAAGTGGTCACATAGGTACTACAGTAATAGGGTATAGGGCAGGTGGGAGGGGGGCGGTGGGCGGGTATATGCATATATAATGAGTGAGATGTGCACCATCTGGGGGATGGTCATACTGAAGACTCAGACTTATGGAGGGGAGGGGGACAAATGGGCATTTTTGAAACCTTAAAATCTGTACCCCCATAATATGCTGAAATAATAAAAAAAAAATGCCTAAAGTTGAAAGTCTCTCCTTTAAAAGTTCTGTATGTCTGCCCAGAGGCAAGATGTAGGTACTTTAAGATGGGAATCTGCCAACCTCCTCATTTGCCAACAAATTAATAAACTTCTCTTTCCTTCTCCTCAAACCATTTGTCTTTGTTCTTCTGATGAGGCCTCAGGCACCCTCCAGGATAAGTGCTGAACTTTCAATAACTTTCCTAGGATTAGAAATTCCTTGTAGTTAAGGCCACCTTTGAGACTTCAGAGTTCTGTTCTTTGTGATTAACTACCTTTGATGAAATTTAGGGGCAACATGCCGAACCCAAAACATGGCTCAAGCCAGGTAATGTGTGCCTCCTTCACATTACTACTCATTTTCACAAAATCTGAGTGGGCCTCTTGTCTCTGAACTGGACTATCTATACATTGTGATTATCCAGGGACCTGTGTAAATATCTAGCCCCACCAGAAAGAAAACCTTGATAACAGGCCAAGGACAAGAGGAAAGTACCCAGCAGGGCCTCCTAGAGCCCTAGGCAGGGGGCATGCCTCACAGATGCAAGATAGGCATAATTAGGAAGGGCTCCATCATTGCATGTGTCTATCTGCACAGTAGCCTACCAAAGGTTAAGATAGGTTCAAAGATATGCCCAGCAGCATGAAAGATCAGGATTCCAGTTCTCAAATTTCATAATTCCATAATTCTCTAATGTCAGGAAAAACAAATGACAAAATAGACATTGTTATGTTCCTTCTCCTCCCTGCTCCCAGGCCAGGACTAACCCTTAGAAAAAGGTTGAGTCCAAGCCTCTGCCTACCTGTTATTGATCTATCCATCCCAGAGCAGTAATTGCTGTTGCTGGGAAGGATGGTGGCTCTGATCCAATTGCAGGGCCCAGGTCATGCAGTGGATAGCAGGAAAAAAGTAATTAAGAGGAGGCTGGAACTATGGGAAGTTCACAATAAACTGGTAAGAGCCTCTTACCAGTTGAAGAATGAATGTGCAGAGGTTCAGGCAACGATGTAGCAGCCGTTGAGCTTTGTACTTCTCCTTGGCTAGAGCTTTCTTCAGTTCTAACACCTCATAGCACTGATCTAGTTCCTGGGGTAGCCAGGACACAGACCGTAGTTCCTGCAGAATCCTGGAACCAAGGGCAAAGATGATAAAGCTGGCATCCCACCCTTCTTCTTTCGACACTTTTGACCTCTTGTAAGCCCAGCTTACCCTAGACTGGGCAAATGTTTACAAAGATTGTGATATTTCCAATAGTGACCAACAGTGACAACTCCCTATTGAGAGGTCTTCAGAAGAGTACAAGCCCAGAAAGTTTCTAGCTAAGAAATTCTTTGAGAAAGGTTCAGGGTATGTATAAATGTTCATATCTAGTGATCTCTCTGCCAGGAGAGAAGGTCAAATAGATTAAAAGGTCTGACTTAGGAGAGACTGCGGAGGCCTCTTCATTGAAATAGGGGAAACTGAGGGCCCTAAAAGTCTAGGAGGACAGGTGAGTTTTAGAGTCAAACTGCAACTTCTCTATGGGTTGACTACACCTGAGGAAGCCCAACTATCTGTTATCCAATCTCTCCTACTCCCCAGAGAACTCCACATTTCTAAATATCCTTGAAAAAGATGAAAACCCCCAAATAAGCAAACAGGATGACCATAATCATGTATGGAAATATCCTCAAAATATATGATTCAGAGAAAAAAAAAACTAGTTATTTAACAGTACATACGGTATGATCACATTCTGCACATGTGATTTAAAAAAAGACTAGAAAGATATGCAACGAAATGTTCATAATGGTTATTTATGGGTGGTAGGATTTTAATTTTTTTCCCTTTTTGCTTTTTTGTATTTTCTGAATTTTCTACAATGAACATGTTATGACCTTTTGTAAAACTAATTTTTGAAAGTCTACTGAAGTTGTGTTTTTAAGACTTTACCTGCTAATCTGGAGTAGCCCAGCTCCGAAGTGAGGCACAGCAGAGAGCAGATGATTTCCTAGGAAAGTCTGGAGCCGATGCAACCTTTGCAACCTCACATTCTTCTTCCAACTACAAATTGAGGTCAGCAATAATAATCTGTTGCTCTCTTCCAATTCCCCCAAATCCCATACTCATCATCACCTACCGGGTCAAGGACTTGCGTAAGAGGCAATACTTGAAGAATGGAATGCACTGGAGCTGCTCCCAGAGAACAGTGTGGCGGTGCCAGGTACCCAATGTCATCACGTCACTACCTTCCACAGGATGTATGTGCAGGATTCCAAAGGGAGAGAAGATGTAGTGCTCGGGATTCACCCTGTTGGGTGGCACCACCATCAGGTCGTAGGGCCTTTAAAAAATAGCTCTGATCAGTGGGAGCCCAGGGAACTTGTGCAGCCTTCAAGAAGAGGCAAAAGGATGAAGAAGATGAAAAAAGGAGGCAGGCTGAAGTAGGAAGAGGGAAAAGAGAGCAGAATGATTTTCAAACTAGAAAGATGAAACAAATATTATTAAGAAGAAATTAAAGCCAAAGATAGATGGCAAGAAAGAGAAAGGTACCTAGCCAGTTCCAAGAAGTTCGTATCTCTAGACTCAGATAGCTTATACCCCATGAAATCTAATTCACAATCAATCCTAATCTATAACATTATTTTATGAAACACTAAGATAAAAAATGCTTCTAATGTGACATTACATCAATTTTTAAAATGCATCACAATTTCAGAGATGTTGAAATATGAAAATACTCATACTAGAAATGATAAAATACATATTAATATATACCTAGGTCCTGAAAGACATTCAGAGAGAATTGGAGAATGCTGTTTGGAGTAACTGAGATGAGAAAACTAAAACAAAGAAGAATAAAAACTTTGCCCAAGACAGTTAATGGAAGAATATAGAATTTAAAACCAAATTTACCTGACTCAAGCCCCTCCCTTAACCAATAGGCCATTTAACTTCCCACAGGCTAGCTGCTTAGATTAAGGAGCCATGGCTCTCCCCATGGGACACTCCCTTCCCTATGACCTACTTACTGGAGGCTGTTCTTTCTGCACAGGGCGAGGAGTTAGGGAGTACTCTCCTCACTCTCAATGGCCACTGCTCCTTTGGGGGATATTCACTCATTCTACAAATGTTTACTAAGGCCTAGCACTGTGAGAGCCACTGAGGATATGGCACTATACAAGAAAAATCCAGTCCCTGACTGCACGGTACTTAGTTAAACCATTTATCAAGTTTTCCCTCTGTTCAAGTATCGTGGTCAGAGACGAAGACATAAAGATGACTACTACATAGCCCTTTACCTCAAAGGGCTGAGAATCAACTAGAGTATTACTGATACTAGAGTGTAAATGGGGCAAATCAAGACCTCCCTGAGTGCCAAATGCAAACATTCAACTGTTGCCAAAATGTCTCAAACTCTCTTGCATGGACCTGAAACACAGCAAGTTCTATACTAAACTCCTCATCAACCCCTCCAAATCTATTCCTAATCTAGATAATTCATTCATTCCAATATTAATATTATAGAGTTTCTACACTATGCCAGTTTGTTCTAAGCCCTGAGGATACATCACTAAATATAACAAACAAATCCCCGACCCTGATGGAGCTCTCATTCTACTGGAGAAGAAAGATGATAAACATAACAAATGATAGGGAGGAGAAAAAAGAGCAGGAAAAGAAAGATTGGTAGTACCAGGGGAGAAGGGAATGCAATTTTAAATGCGTGCTAAAGTGGGGGAAATGGCAGTTGAGCAAAGATTCTAAGTAGGTGAAGGAATAATTCCTTTTTAAATATGAATAAAACTTGAGAACACATATAAGAAAATTTTGATAAATTCAAACACATTTTTAAAAACCTGTTAAAATGGAAAATAAATTCATTAAATTTGAATCAACTAGAAATTTGGATCAACACTCTCACTTGAGAACAACTAGAAAAACTAGGCCAAATATATGGATAAAATATAAAAGCCATCTGTATGAATACATCAGGGAACCTATGAATTAAACTTCCGGGACTTTAGGTTGGGACCCCGAATGGTTACACCGTAGAAGCAAAGTTGAACTGGAAATACACCTCCCCTGGTGTGGTGCCTGAACTACAATTTTTGCTCATTTAGTTTCCTGAGTCTGTTGAAAGCTTGGCTTCTCTTCTCAGTCTGTCGTGAATGTGTAGTTAAATTGACATACTACTAACTCTTGGAATCAAGAGGTGCTTCTGTCTGGGGAAAAGCAGGATCAAATGCTGAACTCACTGTACCCGGTCCTTTTTTGGCAGATCTTGGCCCTGTAATCATTCACTGCCCTTTTTAGTTCTCTTGCTTATGGCTTCCTGTCTCTTTAATGTGCCTAATTATCTTGGATTGTGATGCTTCTCTGATTATGACTGATGCTGATAGTTTAAAGCCCTAAGCTTGTCATTTGTTTTCTTTAAGCTCTCTACTGGGGCCAGTAGGCATTATATCCCATATTGCTACCACTATCATTACTGCCATGCTGGTCAAGTGTAGCAGCCACTAGGTGTCAGTAGGTAGTTCATCACATTCAACCACAAATGATAATTTAATTATGATGCCACTACATGTGGATTACTAGTACCCTATTTCCTATTAGCAAGGAAGTCATTTCAGTTCAAGGCCAAGGACATTACCAAACCAATATGAGAATTTCACATTCAAGGATAGTTTCCCAGGAACACTCATAATACCAAGCACTATGTTAGTCAGGGTCTAGTCAGGTGAACAGAAACTATACTAGGCATTTCAACAAAGTCAATTTAATACAGAGAATTTGTTTTTAAAAAGATGTCAGAGAGGAAGGAAATAGCAGAGACATAAACAGGTGGAAAACCATACCATGCTCATGGGTCAGCAGAATCAGCATTGTTAAAATGTCTATACTACCCAAAGTGATCTACAGAGTCAATGCAATCCCTATTAAAATACCAACACCATTTTTCACAGATATAGAAAAAATAATTTTATGCTTCGTATGGAACCAGAGAAGACCCTGTATAGCAAAAGCAATTCTAGGCAACAAAAACAAAATGGGAGGTATCAATTTATCAGATTTCAAACTATACTACAAGGCTATAGTAATTAAAACAGCTTTAGATTGGCACAAGAACAGTGACATTGACCAGTGGAACAGAACAAAGAACCCAGATATAAAGCCATCCTCATATAGTCATCTAATATTTGACAAAGCATACAAAAACATACACTGGGGAAAAGAATCCTTATTCAATAAATGGTACTAGGAAAATTGGATAGCCACATGTAGAAGACTGAAACAGGACCCACACCTTTCACCTCTCACAAAAATCAACTCATGCTGGGTAAAAGACTTAAACCTAAGGTGTGAAACTATTAGAATTCTAGAGGAAAACGTTGGAAATATTCTAGACATTGGCCTAGGCAAAGAATTTATGAAGAAGACCCCAAAGGCAATCACAGCAGCAACAAAAATAAATAAATGGAACTTGATCAAATTGAAAAGCTTCTGCACAGCCAAAGAAACTGTCAAGAGAGCAAACAGACAACCTACAGAATGGTAGGAAATATTTGCAAGCTATACCTCTGATAAAGGGCTGATAACTAAAATCTATTTAAAACTCAGGAAAATCAGCAAGAAAACAATCAAACAACTCTTATCAAAAAGTGGGCAAAGGATATGAACAGAAACTTTTCTAAAGAAGACAGAATAATGACCAATAAACATATGAAAAAATGTTCAACATCTCTAATCATCAGGGAAATGCAAATCAAAACCACAATGAGATATCACTTATCTCCAGTGAGAATGGCCTTTATCAAAAAGTCCCAAAAGAATAAATGTTGGCATGGATGCGGAGAGATAGGAACACTCCTACACTGCTGGTGGGACTGCAAACTAGTGCAACCTCTGTGGAAAGCAATATGGAGATACCGTAAAGTGATAAAAGTAGATTTACCATTTGATCCAGCAATCCCATTACTGGGCATCTATCCAAAAGAACGAAAGACACTCTATAAAAAGACATCTGCACTCAAATGTTTATAGCAGCACAATTCACAATTGCAAAGATGTGGAAACAACTCAAATGCCCATTGGTACATGAGTGGACTAATAAAATGTGGTATATGTATACCATGGAGTACTATTCAGCTATAAGAAACAATGGTGATATAGCACCTCCTGTATTTTCCTGTATAGAGCTGGAACGCATTCTACTAAGTAAAGTATCCCAAGAATGGAAAAGCAAGCACCACATGTACTCACCAGCAAATTGGTATTAACTGATCAGCACCTAAGTGGACATATAGGAATAACATTTATCGGGCATTGGGCAGATGGGATGGGGGAGGAGGGGTTGGGTATATGCACACATAATGAGTGCAATGTGCACCATCTGAGGGATGGACACGCTTGAAGCTCTGACTCTGGGGAGGGGGGCGGGGGTGGGGGGGAAAGGCAACACACGTAACTTAAACATTTGTACCTCCATAGTATGCTGAAATTAAAAAAAATAAAAAGATGTCAGAGGACTGAAAAAGAAAAAAAAGGAACACTAAGGTAGCACAGAGATACTAACTGCAGGAAATACCAGCTCTAGATCTAGAGGAACAAAAGAAAAGAGGTTTGGATTATTAGAAGTTATGAGTTTGAAGGAAGGCCTTGTAGAGTTGGGATTCAGATTTCTAAGCAGGAGATACTGGGTGGCTGCTATTAGTACTTAAGGAGTTTGGAGGAAGGGGCTTGCAGAGTTGAGACTCAGAACTCTGAAGGAAAGGTGTCACCAATTGGTATTGGTACCCCTCAGGGTTATAAAGAGGCTGGTTCAGAAAGTACCTGCTGCTGTGAGGATGAAGGACCATTGCTGGGGCAACAATGACAGGAAGGACCAAGTCCCTTGTCTTCTTATGCTCTCTAGTCTCCTTCTAATAACCCCCATTAATCAAACCTCATAGGAGGCCAGCTGAAAAAGGAGAAATAATGTTTGCAGAGTACCAGCCCCAGTATCACAAAGCAGAGAGAGAAAGGTAGAATTAGAGCTAAGAGACAATCACTTAATAACTGGCATGATGCTCTCAGTGGATGTTTGTTAGATGAACTGATCAGTAAATGAATGAATGATACAGATCATTAGTGCTACCTAAGTTCAGGAGAAAGATCAGTGTGTGCAAAAAATAAGGCTCTGCTGGAGGGTGTATCAGATACTGCTTAAGACCATGAACTTTTGAGTTAAGATAGTCCTAGGTTCAAGTCCCAGTTCCACCACTTACCATGTGGCTCTGGACAAGTTATTTAGCCTCTTTATGCATCAGTCTACTCATCTCATATATGGAAATAATAATAGCACCTACCTGGTAGGTGAGGATTAAATAACACATGTCATATGTTTATTACTATAATGACTGAAATAAAGAAGAGTGTTATTAAGTGGTAATTATTACTATTATTTCTGGGAAGAGATGGGACTTGAATAGGGCATTTAAAAATAGGTAAGATTTGGGCTAGATATGGTGGCTCATAGCTGTAATCCTAACACTTCAAGAGGCCAAGGTGGGAAGATTGCTTGAGGCCAGAAGTTCAAGACCAGTCTTAGCAACATAGCAAGACCGTGTCTCTACAAAATTAAAAAAAAAATTTAGCCAGGCACGGTGGCACATGCCTATAGTTCCAGCTACTTGGGAGGCTGAGGCAGCAGGATTGCTTGGACTCAGGATCTTGATTTTGTAGTGAGCTAAAATGACACCACCGCAGTCTAGTGTGGGCAAGAGATCTAACGGGAGAAAGTGAATGAATGCCTCTTAAGACGTGTGGAATGAGGCTTATTTTTATAGCCCCCAAGATAAAACTAGGACCAGAAGGTAGAAGTTAAAAGAAAGCAGAGTTTGATTCAGTCTAAGGAAGAGGATTCTTTGGGATAAACAGTTTCCTTGACACTACAAAGATTTAAACAAACAGCTGATTCTTGCATTAGAGTTGGAAGAGATGGCCATAAAATTCGCTTCTAAGGCTATGACCAGATGTTTCTGTCATTCTAGGATAGAATCAAGAAGAGCCAAAAATGAGGAAAGGATGACTAAGACAAAAGGCTGTGAGAGTAAAGGGGAGTGAAGAGGAGCTAGAGAGTAGAGAGAAGGCTGAGAAGGGAAGAGGGAGGGAAACTGGGAGACAGAGGAGGAGTATGTGGAGAAAGGAGAGGGGAAAGGCATGGGTATGTGGGGAAGTGGGGTGGGGGCGGGGAAGGTAGTATAGGAGGAAGTCAAGCCAGGGGAGGAGGAGAAGGGGTCTGGACATACGCTCTTACCTAAAGTACCGGTTGGGAGCCACATTGAGATAGAGGAAATGGATCTTCTTCAGAAATCCCTCTGTCTTCAGAATGGTCATCATCTGGCTACCCAGGGAAGAAATATCAAGTAAGACGCGAGTGCTTCTCCTTTGGCAGGACTTCTTCCTAGGAACTTCATAGTCAAGCTTAGACCTGTATGACAAAAAAAAAAAAAAAAAAAAAAAAAAATATATATATATATATATGTATGTATATCAGGAGAGAAAATGCAGAGCAAAAAGGTAAGGGACGTAAAGGTGGGCCTTGCCACTGTTGGCTAGTGAAAGGAGGAGCTAGATCAGGTGCCTGAGGGGACCTGACATGGCATTGTCAGAGCCTGTCTATCACCTATACTCAAAGATGTCATACTGAGCATAGTACATTGTACATACTGAGCAAATACAGTACATTGTACACCAGTCAGGCAACTATAGTCACATAAACATGTGTATGAACAACCCCTCCCTTTCTGATAAATGAATAATCATTCTGGATTGACTATGATTACTGTGAGGTCAGTATTACATAGTACTATGTACAAATAAAGGGAAGACTATTTTCTCAACTCATCACCCTGTAAGCCAATAGTTCTAGATTTTCCCTCTCTGTCAACCCCCCTAGCCTTCTAGATCTGATATCCTACCTTTGCTTCCATTATGCCTGCTTTCCAACTCTGCATGAACTCCATGCCTGTCCTCTTTACTGGTCTTCCCCCATTATCACTCTACCTCTAACTTTATATCCTTTCCTTTCCTGCGAGGATCTAGTGGTGCATCCATCCTTCAGCCCCCTCAAGCCTGTACCAATACTCTGATTTTCTTATTCTTCTACCATACTAGTCAACAAAATTGTTATGAAAATTAGTCACCGAGAACCCAAAAGTAAATTACCTGGACTAATACTTTTGGTTCAGGCGACCTCAGAGCACAAAAACAAAAACAGAAACACACAAAACCAAAAATACTTGGAATGATTAAACTTGGACCTACCAAAGTATACTAGTATCCCTAATTGACCCAAATTTAGATCAATAGAACAAGTTACCCAAGGGATAATAGTGCAGTCCTCTTTTAGAGTTTTTATCAACAATAGGGTTCATGGATGGGTGTGGTGGGTCAAACCTGTAAACCTAGAACTTTGTGAGTCTCAGGTGGGAGGGAGGATCACTTGAGGCCAGGAGTTCAAGACCAGCCTGAGAAAGATAGTGAATCCTCATCTCTACTGAAAAAAAAAAAAAAAATTAGCTGGGCATGGTGGGGCACACCTATAGTCCCAGTTACTCAAGATCACTCTTGAGCCCAGGAATTTGAGGTTAGAGTGACCTGTGATCACGCCACTACATACCAGCCTGGGCAACAGAGGGAGACTAAAAAATAAAATAAATGAACAAAACCAATAGGGTTTATGACCTTGATATTGGATCAAAGATATCTTAAATGGTATGACTGCTATTAAAGGTTAATTTCCTCACCAGTTAAAAATCTACATGATATAGCAGAGTCAGAAGATACAGAATCAAGAATGTTGGCTCTTCTACAGATCTCTGATGTCCAGTCTCAACTGTGGGCTCATTCTGCCCTGATGTCTTAGTACAAGTTCTCAGGCAGCTACCTCTTTCAGGCCTCACATGCTGCTACACCTAACCCAATGCCCAGCCTGCCAAACCCTCAGACCCATACCATTCTCTGCCTCCTTCCATCTGGAGAAAGCTGAGTTCTCAGTCATGAGCTAACTCTCTCAATTTCACTTGCCCTCCTACACACTTATCTGTCCCCCAGTTTGGGAGAAAGAGGAATACTGTCTTCTCTGCAAGGCTAATTCCTTCATTAGTGCTCTGGATCCCTTATGCCCTCTCTGTAATGTCTTTTTAATCTCTTCTTCTTACCTTAGCCTATTTATTCATTCGGTCTATAAATATTTATTGAGCACCTACTTCTCAATATGACTTAAGGGCTATAAACACTTATCTTTAAAAAAAAAAAAAAAAAAAAGGGTCCTACCCAGGCACCACAAGCTGCTATCTTAGTATTTATCTTTCCCTTTCAAGCCAAGTTTCATTAAAAAAAAAAAATATATATATATATGATTTCCACTTCATCTATCATATCCCATGCACTCTTCAATGCACTACAATTCAGCTTCCTTCCCACAAAACTCCACCTAAACTGTTTTCACCAACCTCTTCCTTGTTGCTAAACCCAATCAAAATTTTTCAGATTCTTACTTGTCTCAGTAGCACTTAACACCTTAAAATACTACTGACTGCTCCCTCCTCCTTGAAACTGTCCTCTTACTTCACCTCCTAACATACAAGGTATTTTGTTAACCTAATCTAGATCCAAACTCCTTGATATGCTTTCCCCTAACTACATACAACAAACACTCCAGAGAAGTAGCCAAGCAAGGGACACTGTTATTTTATTTTATAACACTTATTATAACTTATTTATTTATTTTGAGACAGAGTCTCACTCTGTTGCCCGGACTAGAGTGCCGTGGCATCAGCCTAGCTCACAGCAACCTCAAACTCCTGGGTTCAAGCAATCCTTCTGCTTCAGCCTCCTGAGTAGCTGGGACTACAGGCATGTGCCACCATGCCTGGCTAATTTTTTCTGTATATTTTTAGTTATCCAACTAATTTCTTTCTATTTTTAGTAGAGACAGGGTCTCGCTCTTGCTCAGGTCTCAAACTCCTGAGCTCAAACGATCCGGCCGCCTTGGCCTCCCAGAGTGCTAGGATTACAGGTGTGAGCTACCACACCCGGCCTAATAACTTGTAATAATATTTTACTGATATCAATTTACCTATATCTATCTTCCTAAAAAGATCCCATAGGAAAGGACTGAGTCTGTTTCATTCACTTATGTATCCCCAGCATCTAGCAGTTCCTGATACATATACGTATCCAATTATACTTATTGAATGAATGAATGCCTGGGAGGATAATCCTGAAGAACTTAATGCAAATTATGCCATATTAACTACACCTCAGAGGTTTACTGCCAGGTTCAAAGAGAGAGCAAAGAACTTGACCCCTCTCCAACATCTCAGCTCATTGTCACTTCAGTTACATTTCCCCTGGAAAGAAAACTTGTACTCATGACACAGGGCAGCTCTTTGAAAAAGGAAAAAAAAAAGTCTGCTGGGGTTACTGAAGGGATAAATTGTTGGCATTGGCCACCTTCCATCTGATCCCAGAAAACTGCCTGTCTGTCCAACATTAGGGCCCTAAGCCTTCAGGAAAAACTTGACCCCGCAATAAACTCAGAGTGGAAACTGATGCTGGGCACTGTGGCTCACACCTGTAATCCCAGCATTTTGGAAGGCCAAGGAGGGAGGATTGCTTGGAGCCAGGAGCTTGAGACCAGCTTGGGCAACATTGTGAAATCCTATCTATAGAAAAAAGAAAAGAAAAGAAAAGAAAAGAAAAGAAAAGAAAAGAAAAGAAAAGAAAAGAAAAGAAAAGAAAAGAAAAGAAAAGAAAAGAAAAGAAAAGAAAAGAAAAGAAAAGAAAAGAAAAGAAAAGAAAAGAAAAAGAAAGAAAGAAAGAAAGAAGAGAGAGAGAGAGAGAGAGAGAGAGAAAATTAGTTATGAATGGTGACACACACCTGTAGTCCCAGCTACTCAGGAGGCTGGGCCAGGAGGATCACTTGAGCCCAGGAGTTTAAGACTGCAGTGAGCTATAACGACACCACTGCACTCCAGTCTGAGTGACAGAGCAAGACCCCATCTCTCAAAAAGAAAAAAAATTGAGGAAGCCAAGCTTAAGCTTAATCAAAGGTGTAACTAGCCTTCTTCCTAGACAGTGAATGTCACAGACAAGCTGCAAAGCACCTAGAAAATGAAACCAGAGGGCAGGGAGAATTCCAAGACTAAAGTTAAAGAACTCTCAAAAAAGGTCTCTTAAGGCATTCTGAAATCCTGAAGAGAGATCTGATAGCCACATTAGAAAAAAAAAAAAAATTATCACTCAAGAACTAACCTCTGGAGGGGTCAGAATGAAATCCCACCCAGTAATGCTGCCAACTCTACTCTGCCTGAGAGCTGGGTTGGCTCACATAGACATGTGTGAGAAGGCCACTCAGACAAGCACTCCCTGGGAGTATCCTCAGGGAAGGACTCTATACCCAGCATCTAGGACCCAGCTCAAGATAGGCCCAGAAGTGAGGCTCAGTGATTATGAATGAATTAGAAAAAGAACTAGGAGGCTTTCGGCACCATCTGAGAAAGAAGCCTGGAAATGGAAGAGTCAAGCTGTTTTCTAAAGCTTTGGCTGCCTCATGGCTAACTTTTGATTTCTATTAATTTCTGCATTTCCCTGTGGGGATTATTGTTAAGACCACTGGGTTTATTTTACAGACAAAAAGGAAGAGAGCTCGGCTTGGGGTCAGGCTAATCCCTATGGTGAATAGAGAGCTGGCTCTAGACATCCTAGTGGCCCTAGAGGTACCATAAACTGGCTTATTTTTCTCCCTGCTCAAAGCCCCAGCCTGGGTCCCTCACTTACCTAGTGTCTCTTCTTCCAACAGGCTCCTTTTCGGTGTTGTCAGTGTCACTGCGTTCATACTGTACAGGGATGTCTGTTGCCAGCGCCAAGGGAAGGAGACTGAGGCCATCCAGCCACCAGGCCTCTTCTAGGGCCACCTCAGCACCAACAATGCCCAGGCAGCGCTGTAGCTCCGGGAGTGTCAGTGGTCGCAACCACGTGGCCAACTCCTCCTTGACTTGCTGTGCACCCCACCGGGCCTGCACAAAAGGGCAGGCTGGGCAGGGGGGCCTGTGATGGAACCTCTGCTTCCGAGGACGGCAGTCAGTGTGGGAGGCACTGTCTAACAAAGAGTTGTCTGGAGGAAAGGCCCGGTCCATGGCCTCTAGCAGGTCCAGCTGGAGCTGGCATTTGACCCGGGGCGCCCAGCAGTACAGCTGCTCCAGGAAGGGCAGTAAATCAAGGTGACCAACTAGCAACTCACGATACGGAGGCAGCAGGCCCAATACTGCATGCAGGTAGTGCCAAGCTGCAGGGCTACCATCCTGTAGCACAGCTGAGAATAGAGTTCGGAGCTCAGCCAGCAGGAGCTCCAGCACTGTGGGATGCTCTGACTCAGTCACTGGCTTCAGGAACTGCCTCTGTTTCCTCTGACAGGCCCTGGGCTGTCCTTTGCTGTCCGGGACACGTACAGAGTGCTGAGACTCAAGGGCATCAGATAATGCCTCCTTGGGAGACAAACCTACCCTCCTCTCCTCTGAGACCAGAAGCTGGGCATTCAACTGCTGTCGAAGTGACCTTGCCCACAGCTCAGGATTCAACTGCCAGTTCCAGGTTCTCGGCTGCCGGGCCTCACCTGTGTGGGCTAGCCCAGGAGAGGGGCAGGAGGGACCTCAGGTTCTGGGCAGGGAATGGTCAGAGTCAGTGGGATTGGGAGGAGCGGGAGGAAGGATCCCAGGACAGGAAAATGGATGTAGCTGCAGGGCAGGCAGAGTCAGACCCTCAAGCCCTCCCTGTGGCTCCCCCAAAGACTCTGGCAAGAAGCTGGCCCAGGACAAAGGTGAGAGCTCTCCCTGAACAAGAAGGAGTGCCTTCCCACTTCCCAGTACCCTATCCCCCTCACCTGGCCTGAGGGGGATAGGAGGCAAGGGAGGGGAAGGCAGCCGGATCTGCTGATGAGGTTTCATTGGGGAGTGCCTGCTGGAGAAGTGAATGAGCTTACACTGGGTCCCAGTCACAGGCTCACCCCAATCACAGCCACCCCGACGCAGAGAGACCGGCGCACATACGTGTAACCACCTGAAGAGCCAAACTGACACACCGGCAGGGCTCACTCAGAGAACCTAGGAGAGCCTCGGTCACAGCAAGGAGCCTTCACTCCAGCTGGCGATCGCCTGAAGGGGAGGAACGGGTCGTCACCGAGAGGCAGCAAAGCTGCAGTCCCATGGCGTCTTCGTCCAGAGGCTGAGGAGGTCGTGAGGACAGACAGCCAAGGAGCTGGCACAGCGAACTCCTTGGTCAGGAGGCGAGCGGGGCGGCCGAGAGGAAGAAGGGGCAAAGGAGCGGGCTGGGAGGGGAAGAGGAGGCGACTGGGGGCGGAGGGGCCGTGGAGGGGGGAGCAACAGCAGGTCCCGGAAGACAAGGAAAGCAGATCCGAGTGGAGGACCCACCCGCAGCTCCACCCGCCCCCAGCTGTTAGGACCGTTACAAGACCCCCAGAGGCCCGAGCCTGGCCAGTAGCACCCCTGAGAGCCAGAAAGAGGAGGGGCCAGGGTCGAATGTGGGCGGCGCCAAGGGCAGAGCCACGCCCCGAGGGGCGGGACCCAGGCCAAACTTGCGGGCTGCTGCAAGCTTGGGACAGGGACCTGTGGAGGACCAGGGCGGATCTGACTGACAGGGTTGATTCAGACTAGCAATCCAGAGGGCGTCGTGAGCAGGTTTCAGTTTATCCATTTACTGAGTGTCTAAGCTAGTGCCAGGTCTCAACAAGGTCCTTTTAAGACTTCCCCTCCTCCCGACATGTCCATGTACCCTACCCCACCTCCTAAAAACATTCCCTCAGGTGAAAGCCGAAGTCCTACCATGACCTACAAATTGCTATCTCATAACTGCCTGCTTCCTCTGCAGCCTTCTCTTTATATATTCATTCCACTTCTGCTATGCCGGGATCACACCAAACATACTTTCACCTCAGAGCCTACTGTGCTCTCTGCTTGGGATTCAGTTAGGGGATAGTACAAGTTGTGATGGTTAATTTTATGTGTCAGCTTGACAGGGTTAAGAGATGCACAGATGGCTGGTAAACATTATTCCTGGGTGTGTCTGTAAGGATATTTCTAGAAGAGATTGGTATTTTTATAGATAGACTATAAAGTAAAGGAATAAAGTAAAAAAGATTGATTACTCTCACAAATGTGGGCAGGCATCATCCGATCTGTTGTCTGAATAGAACAAAAAGGCAGAGGGAGAATTTGTTCTCTGTTGGCGCTGAGACATCCATCTTCTGTCCTTGGACATCAGCACACCTGGTTCTCAGGCCTTCAAACTTAGATTGAATTGCATCACCAGCTTTCCTGGTTCTCATGCTTGCAGACAACCTATTGTGGGACTTCTCAGCCTATCAGTTCTATTTCTCTGGAGCATGCTCACTAATATATAAGTTTTCTGTAGCTGTGTAACAAATTATCATAAACTAAAGCAGCTTTAAAAACAAGATCCATATAGTGTTTCACAGTTCTGTAGATCACATGTCCAGCATGACATGGCTGAGTTCTCTGCTCAGGATAACATAAGCCTGAAATCAAGGTGTAGGTTGGGCTGAGCTCTCATGTAGAGGCTCTAGGGAAAAAAATGCACTTCCACGCTCATTATCATTGTTAGCAAGACTCAGCTCCTTGCAGTTTTAGGACTGGTATCCCTGTTTCCTTCCTTTCCACCAGCCAGGGGCCACTCTCATGCCACTTGCCCTCCTTGCCACATGGTCCCTCCATATTCAGTTCAGCAACAGTGCCTCATACACTTCTCATGCTTCAGATTTATCTGACGTCCCCTTCTGACACCAGCCAAAGAAAACTCCTTGCTTGTAAAGGGCTCATGTGATTATGTCAGGCCCCCTCAGGCAATCTCTTTCTGATAGTCAACTACGCCATATATATAACCTAATTACAGAAGTAAAACCAGTCACATTCACAGTCCCAGGGAATATGCAGGGCAGACTAGGGAGCTATATACCAGGGAGCAGGAAATCTCAGAGAACATCTTAAAATTCTGCCTACCACACATATGCTGTAATAAAAAGACCCAAAATACCATGGCTTAAACGTGATAGTTTATTTTTTCCTCTCACATAACTGTCCAAGTATAAATACTCAAGGGCTAACATGGCAGCCTTTTAGTTATTTTACCTTTTCCAAGGAAGTAGTCCTGTTTTCAGGGTCTAAGAGAGTTCCCCACTATGTCTGCTGGGTCCCATCCCAGCTGATGAGGTGAGAGAAAAGAGAAAGGAGAAGGTATATCCTTTCTTTTAAGGGTACAGCCTGGCAACTGCACACATTACTCAATCACATGGGCATGCCTTGCTGTAAGGAAAGCTATAAAATTTAATCTTTATTTCAGTGGTCATGTACCAATATACAACTCATGGGTTCTATTAGTAAAGAAAGAAGGGGACAACAGGTGACTTATACCACTAGTTGAGCAGAAGCGTAAGCACTCTTCCTTCCAGGTGCCCTCAAGGTTTACTCCCTCGTTTCAAGTCTCTGTTCAAACACCACCATATTAGTGAGTTCTTCCCTAAAAAGTGTTTGCAGAAAATAGCAACACTCTCCCCAACATCCTTATCTTACTTACCTTGCATTATTTTTCTCCATAGCACTTAGTACCATCTCATATAAATATTTATTTGCTTATTGTCTATTTACCCTAACTAGAAATATAAGTTCCATGGTGGCAAAGATTCTGATTGCTCCCTACTCTATCCCCAGTTCCTAGTGCTAGGCAAGTAGGGGATCCGAAAATATTTGTTGACATAATGATGAACAAGACATAATAGGGTTCGGTGAGGGCATTAAAAAAAGCATGGCCAACACTTCCAGGAAAAGGCAAGCAAGAGTCCCTGAGTCACAGTATGCCTTAAAGTTTAAGGCCTTAAAACAACAGAAGCTTCCCAGATAGACAAAGACAGAAGAGAATTCTGTTCAGTAACCTCTGCTGAGCCCTCAACACTACCGAAAAATCTAATTAAGTTTCTTTTGTCAGTTCACTCTTCCATTCTGTGCAAAGACTATTTCAAACCTCCTGTACTTTCTCATATTCCACTTTCTTCTGCTTTATTCTCAGATGATTTTACTTCCTATTAATAAAAAAAATGATGCTCTATCAATCAGAGTTCTCCAGAGAAACAGAACCAATAAGATATATGTATTTATATAAAGAGACTTATTTTAAGGAATTGGCTTACGTGGTTGTGGGGGCTGGCAAGTCCAAAATCTGTAGGGCAAGCTGGCATGCTGGAAACTCGGGCAGAAATTAATGTTGCAGTCTTGAGGCAGAATTTCTCCTTTTCTGGGAAACCTCAGTTTTGCTCTTAAGGCCTTCAAAGGCTTGGATGAGGCTGGCCCATGTCATCAAGGGTAATCACCTTTACTTAAAGTCAACTAATTGTAGATGTTAACCATATCTATAAAAATACCTTCATAGCAACACCTAAATTAGTGTTTGATTAAATTAGTACTACGGCCTAGCAAAGTTGACACAAAAAACCATCACAAATTCTATTTAAAAGGAACTCTCTCAATCTCCCAATACCAAATTAAAATACTACTTATATCTGCTCTCATCCAATCCTCTCTCCTTCCTGTTACCAATCAGAGGTGCTCCTGCTCTCTCTAAAGCCAAGCTCTACATCTTTGCTCCGGGACCACTCTCTCTTGCCTCCTTAGACCCAGTAAATACTTATTGAGCATCAGCTGTGTCAGGCATGGCTTTTGGTGTCTGGTAACATCCATCTGCAAAACAATAAGAAAAACTATTGATATATGGAGCCTATATTCTAGTGAGGTAGACACAAACAATAAAAAATGAATAGACTATATTGCATGTAAGAAGTGAAAAATGCTATGGAAAAAACCCCAGCAGGATAAGGGGAATCAGGAGTGTTTGAGGGGAGCATGGATTTTATTTTATTTCATTTCGTTTATTATTATTTTTATTTATTTTCTGTTGTCGTTCCTTCACCCCATAGCATCTAAAGGTACAATTTTAAATAGGATAATCAGAGTAAGCCTTAATAGAAAGGTAACATCTAAGCAAAGACTTGAAAGAAAGGAGAGCAGCCCTTCCTCCTGTCTTTTGTCTGGTTAGATCTAATTCTTCCTTTGGATCTCAGCTTCAAAATCACTTCCTCAGAAAAGCTCTCCTTCATCCCCCGAAGTTGTACTACTGTATGTTTCCCTTACAACATACACTTCTTCTTCATAATACTCATCACAGTTGTGATTACTTGTCCTATATTGACCTTTATATATCTATGTTAAGTTCCAAGAGAACAAAGATTGCATCTTCTCATTCACTTCTGTTTCTGCATAGCTTAATCTAGTGTTGGTAAAACGCAGTCGCTCAAATATCTTTGGACTATGTGAATATAGGGATGAATGTGGGGCATACCCAGAAAAGGAAAGAGTCCAGAATTAGCATGATGTGTCCAAGCATCACAAATAAAGTGATCCTTTTATAACCAAGTTTATGAGAATTTAAAACTGAGGAAAGAGGGTTGAAGATGAGGCCAGAGAGGTCATCTGGGACTTAATCAGAGAAAGCCTCAGTTGCAGTGCTAAGGAGCCTGAAAATCATGGAAGGAGTTAAGTAGTATAGATGAGTGTATGATTACATTTATATATTACAAGCATCGCTCTTGTCTAGTGTGGAAAATAGATTGGTAGGTATCTCTCAATAGCCATTCTCCTCTTCTTTAGTAACAGAATCACCAAGTTTTACCTGGGCAAACGACTGGTAAAAAAGATTACATTTTCGAGCCTCTCTTGTAACAAGATCTAGACACATGACAAATATCTGATGTACAACTTCCCTTACGTATACTGAAAGGGAGGAGGGCATGCCCCTTCACCACCACTCCCTGTCCCATTCTGCAATCATGGGATGTTTATGTGATGGAGAAATCTCCATCTTGGATCACAAGAATGGGGGTTATACCACAGACACAACAATCAGAAAGCTGCTAAGTAGCCTGGTTCTCGGATGACTAGAAAGTTACCACACCAGCTTTGGCCTAGATTTACTTGAAAGAGAAAGAAAAGTTTGTAAGTCACTGTTATTTTCAGTCTCTGTTACATAAAACTGAGCTAATTCCTGGCTAATTAAAAGACGTCCAGACTCAAGACAAAAAGCTGCTAGGGGACTGCTGCTCCAATCTGCATAACAGCTAATGAAAGTTTGATTAAGGTGGTAACAATAAAGATGGAGAGAAGGGAAAGGGTTCAAGAGATATTTAAGCAGAACTACAGGACTTAGAAATTGAGTGGAAACTATGATTTCATGCTGTACATCACCTTTAATGTTTGCATTTCCACTTGTATCAGAACACCTGTGTATTTATTGACTGAACAGATATGTGAACCACCAATCCATATCCTTAATTTAAAATAAAATCTTAAAATTATTAATTATATTTTTAAAAGTTTAATTTAAAAAAAGGGAAAATTACAACAAAAAGAAATTGAGTAGAAACTAGAACGACAGCAATTTGCTCCAGATGGGGCCTTTCAGGTGTTGAGTGATCTGTGAATATTAAGGGTAGAAGATACTGCCTTGTCCAAGTTTGAATGAAAAACATCTCTAAATCATTGGCAAAAGGTCAAAAGTTAAATTCGCAGGTTCACTTCTGTCTCTTCTGATAAAGGCCTTTCTCTTACGTTAATAGTACATCAAGCTGGGAGGAGACTGAGAGGTGTTCATTCAACAAATGTTTGTCAAGCAAATACTACGTGATAGATGCTGTGCTAACACTATAATGGTGAGAGATACAGACATGGACTTTGCTCTCATGGTACATTATGACAAACCATTAAAAGTGTTACACACCAGAGTGTGAGGAATTATGGGAGCTGGAGTCTGGGGAGGGTTCTTTAAGGAAAAAAATATTTGAACTAAAAACTCAAGAATGAGAAGAAGTAGATAAAGTAAGGGGTAAAGCATTGAAAGCCAGGAAACATCAAGTATGAAGGCCCTAAGATGGAACAGTACATGATAGCTTAGAACAACAATCCCCAAAATTTTTGGCACCAGGGACCATTTTCATGGAAGACAATTTTTCCATGGACCAGAGTAGGGTGAGGGGGATGATTTTGAGATGATTCAGGTGCGTTACATTTATTGTGCACTTTATTTCTATATTATTGCACTGTAATATATAATGAAATAATTATACAACTCACCATAGGTTCGGGGGCCGTGGCTCAGGGGATTTGAAAGGCTAGTGTGGCTACAGCAGAAAGAGGGAGAGAGTGAAGTGTGATTTGAGTTAATTCAGCAAATAGTATTGACAGTCCAGTATTTGATAGTGATGGATAAGATAAAACTAGAAGTAGGTAGAGGCTGAATCATGCAAGGCCTTGTAGGTCATGTTTTGAATTTCAACTTTTGTCCTAAGAATGGAAAGCTATTACAAAGTTTTAAGCTATTACAAAGTTTTAAGTTTGTGTTTTATGGCTAATGAGAGGGGGACAGAATGGAGGGGCACAAAAGTGGGTATATGGAGAAGTAGCAACTACAATAATCCCAGTGGGAGATTATGATGAAGATAAAGAGGAGCAGACAGAATCAAGGGATATTTAGAAATGGAAACTGATAGGATTTGGTAACTGACTGAGGGTATAAGAAAGGGGGAAATTCCTAGGAGTAGCAGGCATTGGAGGAAAGCTTATGAGGAAATATGGAGTTTGGAATGTTTTTGAGACACCTAAGTGGAGATGTCAAGTAGCTTGGAAGAGATCTGGAAATCATCACTAACTAAAGCTCAAAGTGGGGATGAAACCATCCTAGAAAAATTAGACTGAGAAAGAACAAGACCTAGAGAAACTTTTAAGTTTAAAGACTAGGAGGAAGATGAGCCTGTGAAAGAGGCAAAGAAGCTGTGTGGTCAAAGAAGTGAAGTCACAGACACCAATGCAAATGTGTCAATGATGAGAAAGTAGAAAATAGTACCAAATGCAACTGAGAAGTAAAGTAAGCTGAGGACTAGGAAATAACCACAGGATTCAAACCATTTCAATAGAATAAGGGTTGTAGAAGTCAAAATGGACTAGGTTAAGGAATGGAAATGGAGTGGGTGACTTGTAAGATAGAGAGGACCAAAGTATCCAGTTGTTTGGAGAAATTTACCTGCAAAGTAGAAAAGATACAATGGTAACTGGAGGGGACATGAGGTACAGAGTGGTTTATCAACAGGGGAGTCTTCAGTATGTTTAAACACTGATGAGAAGAATTCAGTATAGTGGGAGGAAGTCAGAGATCCTCAGAAGGAAGGATTCAGAACACAGGAAGGAGCATTGGGCTTAGATGAGAGGGATGTCTACTCTGTTTAGACAGGAGGGAAAGAGAACAATGCAGATGTATGAGGGTAAATAAGTTGTGGGATGTGGAGAGAATTACCAACTGTTTATAAAGTAAGAAATAGGGTTACCTATGGAAAGTTAAGAGAATGGTAGAGGGTAACAACAAACTATTGGTTTCAAATAGTCATTGTAGGGAGCAGTAAAAATGACTAGAAAAATCTAGGATTATACGGGCTGAGGCTCCATTTGAAGTTGGTAGCAATAAATTCAGTGGTATAAATCTGCTCTATAGTCGTTCCCTTGCATGGCATTTCGCTGTCCAAATGCAGACACAGACAAATGTTTCATTTTATTTAAGGGTCCAAAAGAGATGAAAGGCAAAGAAATTCAGCCTATTGCAAGACAAGCACTAGAGTTTAAGCTGGATAGGAATCTAAAGAAGGAAGGTGCTAATGGAGAGAAAGTAGAAGCAATGGCCTAAAATGCTGCTGAGAAATCAAAGCAGCATAGTACAGGGAATAGTTCAATAAATAAAATGGAAGGAATATGGTCAAGGAATAAGATGCAAGTGTTTTGAAGATGGAGCAGTTTAAGGGATGGCAATGGCCAGGATATAACTAAGGCAGTGGGTGGCTCAGACAGTGGAATTCACTGGAGATTCAGTTGAGGAACTAAGAGACCAAAATACTGAATGGATTGTCTGCGTAAACATAATGTATCAAGGGATGGATAGGAAGACCAAGGGCTATGTATTTAAAGTAGCAGGAGTGTAGTAGTTAATGAGATTGGCAGGCAAATAATGAGAGAGGGTTATATGGATGAACAGCCTCAAAGGAATGAGACTTTACAAAAGAGTGGACAGTTAAGTTCTGAAGCTACAATGGCAAGAATACTAAAATGTCTCCAGCATGTACATTTGTGATAACATAATAAAACTTTGTCAACACTTATTCCTAGGTGTCGTGCTTGGAATAGCACATTGCTCTCACTATGCCAATGGCTATCACTTTGTGGCTAGAGCTGAAGAAGACCAACAACTATGGAGGGTAGAGTGGAAGGAATAAGTACTTCTCCTAAGTACTGAACACATTTATAAACTGAAAGAACCAGGACAGAAGAGATTGAAAATTTAAGAAATCTAAAACTGACGAGTTAGACCGAGGGACACTAGTTTTCCAATGCCTAGAGGCGAGTTGGGTAAAAATGAGCTTACAGATTAAAGCTCTGAAAGTTCAAACAGCACAGGCTTCAGAGTCAGACAGTTCTATGATTTTAACCCTTCTACAGCAATTACTAATTATGTGACATGGAAAGAGAGGAAGCACAGATAATTCGCAATGGAAGTTTCTTGCAAGGATACACACAAAGGATGACGTGGAAAAATTCACCCACAAGGAGCACAATATCCCAGGTCTCCAATCTCTGGTCTTCTGGGAGTTGAGAAGTTCACAAACTGTTTTACTTGCATTTATATTTCCCAAAGGGAGAATGTTATTAGGTAGATATAAAGTGACTCAGTAGGAATAGTGCTGCTCACCAACCTTTGCTTTCCCAACAAACTTTTTCAGTCCAAGATTTGTTTAAGAGATAGTAGGTAAAGAGGACAAAACACTGGAGCCACTTTTCTGAATAGGTAACTGTATGAGTTTCTGATATATTCTGGATTCTTGCTTTTTCATCTGTTAAGCGGAGATAATACCTCTTTACCTACAGTTTTGTTGTAAAGATTTACTAAGCACATCTATGAATATCAAACCAATACAAAGTGGGTACTCAAGAGATATTGAAAGGCAGCCTAGTATAATAAAAAGAACATGGACTTTACAGACAGATCTGCATTTTAATAGAGTCTTTCTCTTGAGAATTTCAACTTTCTGATCTGTAGATAGGAAAGAACACCTGCTTTGTGGATGGTTGTAAGGATTTTTTTTTTTTTATTATTTTGGGGGTCCATATTTAGGACCTTCAATTTCTCTGTAAAAAATGCAACAGGGTCACCTGATAAGAGTGGGGCATGGGATTAGGGAGAGCAGTGAAAGTATAAAATAACTGTTTTGGTGATAAGAGGAGGGAATGGACCAGGAACCCATAGAGGGTTGTGTGCTGGCAGTGTGGGCTTAGCTGAGGTTGGAGACCTTGAAAATTTAGTAGGCATTCATTACACAACTGTTTTTCTCTAGCAGTTTGAATAGAAGTATAGGAAAAATAAATAAATAAATGGAATGATACAAAAAGGAGGCCAACGATGGCAAGAAAATAGGGTGATAGAATGACATGCCATTCAGACTGCTGAATATAGAGGTAAATTCCACAAAGGAGAAGGAAGCAATAATGAGAAAAGAATGGTGAGGCTAGAATTAGAAATCACAGAACAGGTACAGCAGGAACAATGTGGGGTGAAGGGTGGAAAGCCAAAATTAGATTATAAACAAGCAGTGAAACATTAAGGTAAGCAAAGGCTTCATTTTATCCTTTTTATCATAACCACCACTGTCTACTTCTCCCTTGGGTTTCCTCTTCCTCAAGCTTGGCTGTACTGTCATATTCTATAAAAAAGACATCTGCACTAGAATGTTTATAGCAGCACAAGTCACAATTGCAAAGATGTGGAAACAACCTAAGTGCCCATTAATACATGAGTGGATTAATAAAATGTGGTATTATGTATACCATGGAGTTCGACTCAGCCACAAAAAACAATGGTGATATAGCACCTCTTGTAGTATCCTGGATAGAGCTGGTGCCCATTCTACTAAGTCAAGTATCACAAGAATGGAAAAGCAAGCACCGCATGTACTCACCATCAAATTGGTATTAACTGATCAACACTTAAGTGCACACATAGTAATAACATACATCGGGTGTCGGGCAGATGGGAGGCAGGAGGAGGGGATGGGTATGCTCACACCTAACAGGTGCAGTGCACACTATTTGGGGGATGGACATGCTTGAAGCTCTGATTTGGGTTGGGCAAGGGCAATATACATAACCTAAACATTTGTATCCCTGTAATATGCTAAAATAAAAGTAAAATAAAGTTTGGCTATACTGCAGAATATAGTCCCCAAGTTTCCCCCTTCTTGATAGCTCCTGATGACAAGCACACAGACTTTCTTTGTTCAAGGTTTTATTGCTTAGCCTCAGAAGACAGAAATACTAAAAAGGAACAACCTGGGGAAATGGCTAGAGTTCCAGAACACCATAGAATTCTTACAGGTTTCAACTCTCTTCTGTGGCCATTAACTTCCCAGGAGGCAGTGCTCAAAAGCTCTGTGATTTTTTTGAAATTTTGTACTTAGATATTTCCTTCTTTCCCTAGATCCAGCAGAATTATTTCACATAAGACACAATCCACAAAAAACTGGTTATGAATCAATGCATAGTTAGCTCACAGGTGAGCCATTTAAGTCAGACAGAAGACAGCCCATTTTCTGTCTTCTGGGCAGGAATCAATTTCCTGTTGCTATTTTACCAACCTTAAAATTATACATACAGACCCTGCTTTAACCAGATGCCTGGAAATTCTGAGGTTTTCCTTCTACATGTAGAAGACGATTTCTCAGCTGCCAGGGCTGATGAAGCCAGCATTAAATGACCGAACAAAGGATAGTGCCAATAAAGTAGGCAACGTTTCCCTGTCCAGAATATAAACCAAACAGAGCAAAAAGCAGGTTTATTTGCTCCAGGAAAAGGAGCAACAGTACCCAACTTTCAGGCAAACCCTCATTCTCTACATACAGGATTCACCAAGCCCAAGGTCCACTGGGTCCTTCAACCTGAGGGTCCTTCTAGTGCCGTCTCTCCTGGAGTTGTGAACACACGGCTAGCTGCCCGGCTAGCTGCCCGAAGGCGAGACTCTGGGCTGTTCAGCAGCAGCACCTGGCACAGCTGCGGCAGCCTCGTAGTCCGCAATGCGGCGCTGTACCAACGCAGGCATGAGCTGCACGTAAGCGGCCATGAGGCGGTGGTTGGAATGGATCAGCTTTCCAGCACAACTGTGCAGACACGCCTCCTGGAAGGAAGACAGGGTGGAAGTAGAGGCAAAAGATGTCCTGCCATGCCCACTTCCTTCCTTTCCCATCCCCAGCCTAGGGGTGAGAGTCTTGGAAAGGCCAGGGCTGGGAGGTGGGAAAGGGAAGCAGTCTGCCATTAACTCTTGAGGGTCGAGGGTAACCTCCCTACACAGTTCCCACCTCCTCAGAGTCCAGAGCTCGGTGGTGCAGGCTGGGCACGCAGCGCTGGAAGCAGAGTTCTGTCATCCGATTGTAGACCAACAGGAAGTCCCGCAACTGGGAGAAAAGGGGACCAAGAACTCAGCGATAATGGCCCCACATTTCAACTCAAGGCCCTGCCGCCCGGGGTTTCCCAGGACCGCGCACCACAGCCCGATGTTTCCAGCCCTCGGACCCCCAGCTCTGCGGGGTTCCCGCGATGTAGACAGCGATGAGAGCTGCACGGCCCGCCCTGAAGCAACTTAGTTCTCACTCACGTTTCTCAGCTGCTGCTGCTGCTGCTCCATCCCCGCACCGGCGCACGCCCTGCGACACTTCCGCCACACGCTCGGTGCCGCCCCGGAACTAGTCTCTCACCCTCCCCAAGGACTGAGGGGTTGGCTGAAGGATCACCCTGCCTCCAGCTGCCGACGTCACCTCCGCCCTTATAATCTGCGACGTGGCCGGCTTCTTCTGCCCGGAGAGGACGTCACTTCCGCCGTGTCCCTGACCTGCTGCTAGGATCGCGACGGGAACTGGAGCCCGAGGTCCCCGCGCGGCCCGGGCCTGGCGCCCTGAGGGGAAGAGCGGCCCGGCCCGAGGTGAGAGGGACATACTTGGGTGAGGGGAAGTTGAACGCACGAACCTGTCCCGAGGGCAAGATGCCCCTGAGCCCTGGGTAAGGATGGAGACACACCTGATGTCCAGGTGTATGGGGGGGGCGGGGACTCACACACCTGGAAGACATAACTGACTTTGGAAGGGATCACCTATATCCTGGGAAAGAGAGCCTTTTACCAGAGACTGGGAACATACCCCAACTGATTAAACTAAGGCCTGATAGGGAGGGCCTGAGGAAGAGGAGATGCATGAGATGGAGGAGGGGGAGAACACCTGAAGAAAGGGGGAAGAAACACTAAAGGAGGGTAAAAGGCCAAGCAATGGAGAACATACCTGAATGGCATATGAATACCTGAGCCCTCCAAATGGGTTCGTCTCCTGGTGAGAGTAAACACACCTGCTTGGGGATAAGTTATAAATGAGCACAGACTTTCTCTCTTGTTCACTAGTGTAGTTTCATTGCCTCAAATAGTGCCTGACACATATTAGGTACTCATTAAATGTCTGTTGAATAAGTGCATGAATGATCACAGGAGTCCTGGTGAGGTTGGGGGGGTTGTGAGAAGACATCCAGGCTTTGGTGCACACGTGTACAATTGTGCACTATGGAGGAGAGAAATACCTATACCTGAGGAAAGGTGTGGTTAGCTGAACCCCAGGACACTCAAGCCCTGGGACAACCTCCAAAACCTCAGAAATGGTAGAGGAGGTCTCTGTCTTCTAGAATGCTGGGTGGTTTCCAGAACTATTTGTGTTGGGCTTTGCAGGGTGCTGAGGTGGAGACTTTGACTCCAGTACCTTCCCTAGTCATGACGGACGGGATCCTAGGGAAGGCAGCTACAATGGAGATCCCCATCCATGGGAATGGTGAAGCTGGGCAGCTTCCTGAAGACGATGGGCTGGAGCAGGTGCTTCTGTTGGATTCTTGTAATTGTTTCAATTTAGGAATGCCAATTTGTAAACCCTGGACTTTCACCCCCATTCCAGTAGTCTTTCCCTAACTTATCTAACTTCCTTCATTCTTTTTACAAATCTTCATTCTAATTCTGTGCAGTCTCCCCTTGTGTGCTCTCTTTATGATCCTTCAATACAAACTTGTTCCCACCCCCAAAATTCTTCAGCTGGCCCTGTGTTCCTGAAGCCCCATCTCTTCTCTGGCCTATAGGACCTCCAGCAGGTGATGGTGTCAGGACCCAACCTCAATGAAACCAGTATTGTGTCTGGTGGCTATGGGGGCTCTGGTGATGGACTCATCCCCACAGGTATGAAGGATCAGAAAGAGGAAGCTTGAGTGGACAGGGGGATAGGAATGGTTTTGGGGAGCATAGGATATGTCTAGGAAAGCTTGAATTATATCTGCAGATCTTGGGAACTTTGCTCGTGTGAACCCTGTGATTCTCCTTAGACCAAGACCAGCTCCTAGGGTTGTCTACCTGCTTTCCTCTTGACATTTAGCCCCTGAGATGGCCCATCTGTTCTTTCCCTGCCACCACCACCTGAGACCTCCACAGGAGTTACCCTGCTCTAGAGCTTGAGGCTATGTTGGAAATTTGCAAGACTTCTCAGAATTTTACTTTAAAGTTTAGATAACAAACAGCCCTGAATCCCTGACTAAGATTCCACATGGGAATGTCAACTAGGTTTCCTGTTATCAGGACCCACCATCCTTGACTCCCCCACCCCCAAACTCAGTGTATTTTCTTCTGTTTGCTCCTTTATACCAGCAAATCCCCACTCTCCTCCCCCACACTCCCACAAGGAGGCCAGGTGTATATTGGAATTTGGTTCTCAGGGTACAAGGTCCCAGTTCTTAGTGAGCAGGAGAATCCAATTATCTCCAGCTTCTCCTTCAGGGAAGTCATTTTCATGTGCCAGCAAGGAAGTATGGGTGGGCTCACACAGGTGTCTGGTGTATCTGAGAGGCTGGTGTCAGAGAACTTGGTCCTTTAGGGTCTGGCCGCCATCCATCTCATAGCACCACTCCTGCTGGCCCTGGAGATGAGGTGGCTCGGGGCATCGCTGGAGAGAAATTTGACATTGTCAAGAAATGGGGCATCAACACATATAAGGTAGGATTTAAGCACCTCTCCCTTCCCCAAAACTCCTTCTGAGTACCTTTTCTCCTTTTCCCCAGATCCTAATATCCTATCTATGGCTGAGACTAGGAGCCTGGGGGTGCTGGGGTAGGTACCTGTTGTTGGCGAGGGGCTAGGAGCTCTGACCTGTTCCCCCACTTCCTGATCAGTGCACAAAGCAGCTGTTATCAGAACGGTTTGGCCGAGGCTCCCGGACTGTGGATCTGGAGCTAGAGCTACAGATTGAGTTGCTACGTGAGACGAAGCGCAAGTATGAGAGTGTCCTGCAGCTGGGCCGGGCACTGACAGCCCACCTCTACAGCCTGCTGCAGACTCAGCATGCACTAGGTGACGCCTTTGCTGACCTCAGCCAGAAGTCCCCAGAGCTTCAGGTGCCTCAGCCAGACCAAAGAGGGTGGGAGTACTGGGCCCGGCCCCTCCCAGGCAGTCACTCCTCAGCCTCCCTCCCTCCCTCCTGCAGCCCACAGGGAGAACCCCTCCAGGGTGGGCCCAGCCCTGTCCCCAGCAGCACTCACCTGTGGAGGCAGCCTAAGGGTTTGTACAGAGATCCAGAAGTTGGAGGGGTTGGGGAGGTGCACACTAGGTGCCTCACAAGCAATCCCTGTCTGCATTGGGGAGAACGCCTTCAGTGCTCAGCCTAACCCCCTGCCTGCTGCACTAGCTCTCCCTGTCCCAGTCTTGTGAGCTTATCTGAGAACCCCCACCCCTCACATTCCTACCCTAGGCATCCCCAGCGTGGCACACTAACTTTCTGGCTAAGAGCCTTACTGGAGGCAGTTCTTGATGGTTCCAGTTTTGATGGCTCTTTCCTTTTTGGGAAAGAGGGTAGTGAGGGGCTCTACAGCTCCAGTCAGGTGGGGACTGTTACTCAAGTCCTGTTCCTCCCTTCTGCCCTCAGGAGGAGTTTGGCTACAATGCAGAGACACAAAAACTGCTGTGCAAGAATGGGGAGACGCTGCTAGGGGCTGTGAACTTCTTTGTCTCTAGCATCAACACGTTGGTCACCAAGACAATGGAAGACACACTCATGACTGTGAAACAGTATGAGGCTGCCAGGTGTGGGCACTGGCAGGGCCTAGAGTTTGGGGAGTTGGCTGGTATGGGTGGAAGTTTAGGCATTAGGGGCATAAGAATGTAGGAAGGAAAGGAAAGTATGTGTTGAGGACAAATGGGTGGAGACCAGCCTGTATCACCCCTTCCCCAGGCTGGAATATGATGCCTACCGAACAGACTTAGAGGAGCTGAGCCTAGGCCCCCGGGATGCAGGGACACGTGGTCGACTCGAGAGCGCCCAGGCCACTTTCCAGGCCCATCGGGACAAGTATGAGAAGCTGCGGGGAGATGTGGCCATCAAGCTCAAGTTCCTGGAAGAAAATAAGGTGCCAACCCCACCCCCTTGACCTTAGTCCACCTTCCCACCTGTGACACTAATCTTCCCCTCAGGTCCTCCCCATCATTGGCTAGGGAAATGCAACCTGTCTGGCGAGTGGGATATTCTCTCCAGCCCCCTCAACCCGAGCCTTTCCACGTCACCTTCCCTCCAATCCCTGGCCCTTTCCTGTTGGGTGATTTGGCTGGGGGTCCCAGGATCATAACTGGGATAAATCACTCCCTGAGCTGGGGTACCAGAACCCTAGGCCCAGCAAATCAAGTCAGGTTTCTTCCATCAGATTGACCTATCTCTGATTCCCTGGGTAGAGTTCAGCCCCCACCCTAAAAGCACCATCTGAGCAGAGTCCACATACCCCTGGTATGTGCCTGGGCTCAGGCTCATAGACCCTCAAGAAGGGTGCCTGAGTCCAGCCTTAGCTGACCCTGCTGGACCCCCAGATCAAGGTGATGCACAAGCAGCTGCTGCTCTTCCACAATGCCGTGTCCGCCTACTTTGCTGGGAACCAGAAACAGCTGGAGCAGACCCTGCAGCAGTTCAACATCAAGCTGCGGCCTCCAGGAGCTGAGAAACCCTCCTGGCTAGAGGAGCAGTGAGCTGCTCCCAGCCCAACTTGGCTATCAAGAAGGACATTGAGAGGGGCAGCCCCAGGGTGGGGGAGATTGGACTTGGGACATCCCTTGCCACATGCCCTCTGGCTTGGGCTCCCTTTTCCTGACTGGGACCTGACACCAGTTTTGCCCACATTGCTGTGGTGGGAAGAGGGCCTGCACGCCCAGAAGCTGCTGCCCTGTCCTTTATCTTCCTGGCCACTGGGCTTCATTCCCAGATCTTTTCCTTCCACTCCACAGCCAAAGGCTATGACAAAACCACTCCCTGGCCAATGGCATCACTCCTCAGGCTGGGGTGTGCCCCTGACCAATGACAGAGCCTCAAAAGGCACTGTCAGCCGATGGCAGCTCTTCTTGGGCTCCCCTGGGCCAATGATGTTGCCTCCAATACCCTTTGTCTCTCCTCTATGCGTGCCCATTGCAGAGAAGGGGACTGGGACCAAAGGGGTGGGGATAATGGGGAGCTCCATTTCTGGCTTGGCATCTAAATGGGCCTCCTCTCACCCACCCACCCAGTTTAACTGTGCTTAGAGCCCAGGAAAATTGGGATCTAACACTAGGAATAAACCTTTCATAAAAGCAGGCCCAGTGAGGTCAATTTGTGGGGGACTCTAGAAGGGTGGGGTGGGTAGAGAAATGTGTA